TGCTCGAACAGCTCCGTCTGCAAGATGTTCTGAGGTGCGGAGACAGCCCCGTTGAAATGTGATAAAACCGAGCTACAGAACTGACGCAATGTCTCGAACTGCATTTTCCCCCTCCGTTCGCTTTTATCCTCAGTAAATGATCACTCTTTTTCTTTTCACCAACAATACATCCCAAAGCCTGCGCTCTCTTCGGACGCCCCCCTCCACACATATACCTCCTCAGTATTTTTGATATTATTATTATCTTCCCGGGGGGCGCATTAAACGCAGAAAAACCTATCAAGTTCCATATTTCTCCGGCCGCTCCTGGTAAAAAGTGTCCTCAGATGAGCCGCATTCCAGGCGGGAGGCTTCGGTCATAATGCTTCGGACTTGAAGCGAGAAAAATAAGGTGGTGCCGGTAACGAGCCTTTTCTTCTTCTCGCCGTGGCAAAAATCTCTTCTCGGTGTGCAGGAAGAGGCGAAGGAGCGCCCAGAGGAGAGAATGAGCGGAGAAGCATCCTACACGGCGGCCAGCAGCGGCAGCAGCAGCATCCCTTACCGGCGCATCAGCTGCTGCCTCACATTCAACTCATATTTCCCGTCGCCTATGAAGAGCACACACCCGCGCTAACACACACGCGCGCGCACACACTACGCGGCTGATGTGCGCACTCTTTGCCATCATCTCTCCATCCTTTTTCATATTCTGTTTGATAAAGCACAGTGATACAGGGGAGAGAGGGTTATCCCTTTATATTCCATATCGGCTCCTCATCAGTAACAGCAGATGACAGTCCTAATACCTCTGAAAGGTTGAGTGTCTGCCTGTGAGGAAAGGGCACACATAAGGGGCTTTTCCCAAAGGGGTTACTTATTTTCATTTTGTTCAGTCAGTTGTTTTTCATGTAGCCTAACTTTAAAAGTGTCAAAATTAGTTGAAAAATGTGCAGTGAGGTTGAAGAGGTTCCTTAAAGCTGCTGATGCAAATAATGTTGATGAAGTATTTTTACAGGACAATCAATAGATGTGGTACTTGAACATGGAGCTATTAGCTTTCTGATGGGTTCCTATAAATGAGTTCTGATAAGAATACACTTCCTGAGCCGGAACATGTCTCTGTGTTAGATGTTCAATATGGTCCTGAGGGATAAAATATACGAACCAACAGAATACTTGGCTATTCAGCAATTAGTTAGTTAGTTACTAAATAATGCAGACTTTATTTAAGGATTATGACAACTGTATAGAATGAAGATAGAAGAGTGATAACGTTATCAGTGTGTTGATATTGACTCAATAAAACTCATGTGTTTAAACTAAATCAGCTACAATGCTTGGTTCTTGTGTAAGTTATAGTTGCCAAATTCCCCATTCTCAGGTTAATCGCTTCCCTACAAAAACAAGCACCTGGTAGAGCAAATGTTCAAGCATGCTGAAAACCTTTGCATGACACATTGCATCAATTTGACTATAACACATTTTGGCTATAACAATATTAAAATAAGACCCAGCATGAAATAAGCCCAACATAAAAGTAAAAACTAAACATTACCCAACTGTCCTGCGCTACTTCACTTACTGAAGTTCTACACATACAGTTTCACAATGAAAAGGGGAATCACGGTATAATGGGCATGTTGTGTTCACTTGTGATTTACTCAATATTGAGTTAAAAAGGATTTGTTTTAAGTCTTTCTCGGTGTCTGAGCGCTCAAGTTGCTTGCACACTGGACTCCATGTGTTGTAAGGTTAACACATGTTTGTAAGCCAAACCAGAAATGAGATGAATGGCAAAGGGATGTTTATTGGCTTTTGGACTTTAGGAGATGATCAACTTTGGCAAACAACATTTGACATACTACAGGGTTTGTTCAACACGATAATGTTCTATATTCATTTTGAAGCATTAATGCAATAGCCAGAAGCTTAAAAATGCTTGTGTGAGGTATTTACTGACCTATCTAAACTCTCATGCAGGAAAATACGTATATTTTAAGTTTGCTGTTACCACAGACCTTATATCAGGTGTGACAAACCCCATTCAAAAAACCTACTGAAAGACGAAGGAACTGCAAGTTACAAAATGCTAACACATTCCCGGGCTCAATCGTGCAGCACTCTATTGCAAAGTTTAGATTCTGCAAAATCATCATCCCATGTCAGTAAACATGATAGTAAATTATAGGAATAATCATGAAAATCCAATCCCAGTGTAATCATTGTTGTTTCATCAGCCTCACCCAACACTGCAGCTGTCCCAGCATATCTGTGTGTTCATTCAAATGACACCTTAGAGACCAAGATAAATTAGAAGCCTTCCCCAAGTTATTTCCTCTTATAAATAGACTGTCAGCTTTTTCCCCTCCTTTCTGTAGCAGAACAGATCCAGGAGTTAATTTAAACATTCTTTAAGATGAATGGAAGTGGGTTTTGGTGCTTATGCAGTGGGAGTTCTATTTATGGACTCTCTGCTATCCATCATCAGCATTTTCCCGTAAATATTTCGACAGCCAGTTTCTTGTTCAGTTTCTTGTTGTGTAGGCAATGCCAAAGCAAGCTCCTCGGTATTACCTCCACCTCTCCAGCCATGTAATCAATTAATATACAATGGCAAGGGCCTGGACTGGAACAGAAAGTGACTGGTTGCCTGAATGCTTGGAGCAGTCTGATCTATAGTCGGTCTGATCATCCATTAAAACGACCTTAAAGCAGCCAGCCATTTGCGGAGAGACGGTGGATATGTACTCCAGTTGCACAGAGACACAAAATGCTGTTTCCCTGCATCATTCTTAAATGTTTATAGAAGTGTAGCCTTGATTACAATTCGCAGTCACAGAACATATGCAATAAAGATGCTCTGCTCTTTATTGTGCTGCTGTGCGGTGTGTTCTAAGTATAGAAACATAACGGTTGAAGGATAACATAGGAACACAGGAGTAATGTGTGTGATATGTCTACATTAGATTTATATCAAACATTTAGAGAATTTTGCATAGCTGTAACGTAGCCTCATTACACTGTGAAAGCACTCAAATGTACACTCATCTCGGACACACTGCTGGATAATGGGCAGGTATGTGAGACATATCCGTCAAAGCATCCATTTGGAGGGAAATATCTGGCCATTATATCAAGTTGATTTTTTTCTCCAAAAGAACTACCATGTTTGCAGCTTCAGCGTATATTGGAAGGTGGATACAAGGTTGCTCTGACAGAGAGAGGACACAGAAATAATGAGTTGTGTCTCCAAACATACTGGCGTGTGCACTGTGCATGCTGGTTTTGAAGGGGATATGGCCCACCAGATGTACACTTACAAGGTCAGCAGAGAGAAGTAACAGGGATATGGGCTGGATGAGGATAGACGAAAGAGAAATAGGGGATATGTTCACTGAGAGAATCATCGCCTCCTAAATGACTTAACTTTACTGATCATAGGTTTGTTGTCCCATACTGAAGAAAATGTTATACATTCTGTCTGAAAATAAGTCTAGTCTGGTATAAGCATGGTCTTAGACAAACAAATGCTACCTTACATCTGAGCAAACAAGGACACAGTAGAAGTTGTCTGAAATGGCTCTCTGCTCCACACATTTCTATAGTGTGTCCTCTTTCTTCTTGGCAGAAGAAAGGGGACGGAGCCCCCATGTAGACATCGAAGTAACTTCCCTATTTCACAGAAGTATCAAGAAATAGTAAACCAGATATAAGATTCACAAACACAGCATGTCCGTGGTGTCAGTGTCTGAGAGAGTTCTGCTCAGAAGGGGCACACGAGAAATGGACCACAACGTTCAGCACTGAAATTCAGCCTGCCCCTGCTTTTCTACTCCAAAATAATCTTTAAAAAGCTCAATTCACGTGCATTATAGGGCTTGGTCTTGCCTAAAAACATATGTTCTTACGTTTGTAGAATGCAGATTTACATGATCGCAGTGTGTGTGTGTGTGTGTGTGTGTGTGTGTGTGTGTGTGTGTGTGTGTGTGTGTGTGTGTGTGTGTGTGTGTGTGTGTGTGTGTGTGTGTGTGTGTGTGTGTGTGTGTGTGTGTGTGTGTGTGTGTGTGTGTGTGTGTGTGTGTGTGTGTGTGTGTGAAGAAGAGAGTGGGTGGTTGACTTCTGTAGAATTGCTGAGTTAGTGCCAGAAACATTATCTGTGTCTCTGTCCTCTTTATAGGCCTCATGGGCTCCATGTACAAGCCGTTTTATATGAGGTCTTGACTGGACTTGGAGACATGTCTCTTATTCTAGGTCTGAATCACTGTTCTGCACTACATATACAACGGCTGCATACTGTATATCAGGAGTAAAGCTAAAAGGCTCTCAGGCAGTAATTGGCATCATGAGATCTTATGTGATGTATAAACAGCGGTCGGTGTCAAGTACATTTACTCAAGTACTGTGCTTACGTACACTTTTGAGGGACTTGTACTTTACTAGACTATTTACATTTTGTGATACTTTGTACTTCTACTCCACTACAGTTCAGAGGTAAATGTGTACTTCTACTTTACGACACTTATTTAATACCTTTAGTTACTTTGCAGATCTGGATGAATGATGTGAAATATAACCAAGTGTTAAATCAGACTGTAGTTCCACCTGGAGTAAATTCACAAGCTACCCTGCAGTATACAAAGTCATTCAAACTAGCTGCACCTTTACCAGCTTTGAGAACACTTTCATGATCAATCATTATAATCAAAACAATTGATATATGATTCTGTAATGGGCCAATTTGCATTATGAGTATTTTTACTTTCAGTACTTAAAGTATATTTTGATACTTTTGTACTTTTACTTGAGTAACATTTGAATGCAGGACTTTTACTTATATCAGAAAATTACACTATGGTACTTCTACTTTTACTAGAGTACAATGTCTGAGTACTTCTTCCACTCTGTGTATAACTCTCTGATCAAACCATGTTCTTGGCTGTACACAATAATAAAAACGACTCATATGGAGCATGTAGGTGTATTCTCCCACATATAGAGCTGAGCTGTATGTGGATGCGTACCTCAGCCCCGATCCGTTGTCAAGGGACGCCTGTCTGGGCAGGAGTCCGACGTGAGGTCTGCTTCTGTCTGACCCTGGTGGCAGGTCCCCTGGGGCTCCCTGGTAGGGGTAGAGAGACGGGTCCTGCAGTTTGGCCTTCTTCCCCTGCGGCCCGCCCTCAAACACACCCCGTACCTGACCGGGCTCCGGGCCGTAGAACCATGCTCCCGACTTGGTGAGGATTTCTTGTTGTTTTCGGCACAAGTTGCATACCCACATAACCTGCAGGGAAGAAAAAGACGGGTGTCAATATTTTTGGAATGGAGGTTGACAGGCACAGGGTGTCTTCTAAAACCTATGATGAGCTGGTATGGAGCAATGCAGGTGTTTGATATGTGAAGATGTAACATATCGCTGTTGCTGGGTGAAAATCATTTTACATTCAGAATGTTATTGGGTGTTTCATAAAGTCCCAACTCGTCTGTTTTGAACAAATTCAAATAAATCAACAGATTTGGGGGTTTGATTTTTCACCCCACAGCGACCATATTGATAAACACCATGGACACCATGTTAATGAGGTGAAATATGAAATATTGTACACATGCAGCAGCCTTTTGATATAGTTGAAATGTAAATATGTGATGTTTATTTTTTCATTGTTGTCATACATTTTGAATGTGAGAGTCCAAATTCTACCCTTAAAATCTCCTATTGTAGATTAAACTTATTGATAAGTAGACAAAATCATATAAGTGTTAGTCGACTAAGATTTTCCTTGGACAAATCTAGTACGCATGTTTTCCATGTTGAAAATAAGCAAAATCGAATTATTTCCTATGAGTGGTTCCCAAAACTTTTTGTGCCCAAGGCACACCAAAGGACAAGTAAAAATCTCAAGGCACACCTATTGTGCAAAAATAGCTCTTATAACACGTGTTATCACTCATATCATGTACATTATCTGTAAATGTGCATAATTATTTACTAATGCCAAATAAAATGTGACAAAGACAACTATATTACTCATGAAATATTTATTAACGAAATATTTCAGAAATTAATTTGAAACTTTATCAAATTAGGCTTCATCAAAGCAGCAACACACTCATTTAAACCAGACAGGTCACAAAATTAAAAATGAGGCAAAGGAAATTCAGCACAGAGAACTGTCAATGCAAGGAAGCTGCATTGTCCATGGTCCTGAACTACAAATTATAAATGTAACATTTCAGCAATCAGCATTGAAACATGTGCTATTGTAAATATTTTTGCCGACTTACAAATTAGTGAGATACATGTGCCTGTCGGGGCGCGCAGATTTTTGTAATCCTTGGTGGCACTGAGGAGAGGGCCACTCGCAAGTCCTGTTCAACAGAGAGCCGTGACCTCCTGTTGTTCTTCATGTAAACCAGAGTAGAGAACGCTAACTCCAGAGATGGGATCGTTACTAAAAGAATGTAATATATTACATATTACTTTTTTTTTTTTTTAAAGTAATATATTACACTACTTCGTTACTATCTACATAAAGTAACTCGTTACTTTACTCGCCGAGCACGTACGAACTGCGCATGCGTGAGTGGCAATAACTTTCCTTACGAGCAGGCGGCGGTAGTGTGTATTTGTCATTCAAAACAGGCAACAACCGGAAGACAGAGAAGAAGAACAGACTAAGTGATATAAACAAACAACAAATAGCTTGTGCGGTAGCTTCACCTTAGCATGTGTTCTTTGCAGGTGTTTGTTGAGGTTTGACGTGGTGTTTACAGCAGTGGATAACAGCTTCTGGCCTGGACACAGTTTGCACCTCACCGTCACATTCCTGTCTATTCTTCGGACGAACTCAAAAATAATGGGCATACCTCCACCCCTCGAAAGTTATCGCTGACTCAGCCATGTTTATGCAGCACTGCACGTGGAGATGTGGACGCACAAGTCGCGCAGATTACGTACATATAAACCTACAAAGTACTGATATAGTAAATAACAAAATAATTATTTTTTGTGTAGTTGTATATTGCAATAATAACGTATGGTTGTCACAAAATCCCACGGCACACCCGGACTTGCCTCACGGCACACCGTTTGGGAACCACTGGAGTAGAGAATGCTATTGCAGTTAATGCACTTTGATAAGATAAATGGAAAGGAATAACATGTTCCTTCTGTTACGGACCGGGGAGATGGAGGTTTGTCCTGCTCTGTAATGTTGTGCCTTTATCTGCTCTATACTGCAGTCCCAGCAGCCAGCTCACCATTAGCCTCATAAATCCAGGAGCAGACAGGAGCCCTGATCACTACCACACATGTACAGACAGAAACACAGACACACACACGCACGCACACACACACACACACACACACACACACACACTAAGCTAAGCATGCTGTCGCGACTTGATAAGGTTTATTTGTGTTTATTGCTATTTGGTTAAAAAAAATAGCTTAACTCACTCATGCCTGAGCCACATGACCACACTAGTTAAAAAAAAGAGCAACTTTAAGTTAAATCTAAGTGTGTCTGAAAATACTAGAAGCTAGCCAAATGATTGACAGGCCAGACGGCCAGTTGGGCGGCCAAGAGCTACTGCAGCCCCTCACCATCAACCCCACCCACTCCCTGCCTTTCTAGTCCCAGTGCTGAGTCAGTGCATTACTTTTATTAGTGAGAGCGAGCTCTGAATGCTGCCTCACCATCACTGGGACTGTGGATCGTCTTTTTTTCAGTAAGCCTTGAATCAAATAAGAATTGACTGATATGTTATTTCTAGATTAACTGAACTAAACTGAGCTGGTCTGTGCAGTTAGAGGCTGCAGTTGTTCAAAGGCTGGATTTGTAACCAAAAGCCTAAACCACAACTGCTTATCTCAGGGACTGGCTGGAGCAGAAGCTCTGGGTGATACCAAGTAATAACTGCTGTGGGAGAAACCCAACAAACGATCACAGGGGCTAAAAACCTGGAGCACACCTTGTTTAGTATTTGCACCAGCACACAGATCAAACAAGAATTATTATTGGGGTGCATGGGTGGAGACGTGGAGTACAAGATAAATGAGTTGTCTAATTGCATTGCATTACACATGTCAGTGCTGATGGGTGGGAAGTCAGTGGGAGATCATGTCCTTGTCACTGAACTAGTGACTTACTGGTTGGTCGCGACAGGGCGCTTGTACAGAAATGTGAGGGATTTCACAAACTACCACCACATTACAGCCTCCTTGTGAAGCTCCGAGCTGCCGGATGACTGTGATCTCCTCAGACTAACAGTGTGAAATAGCAGAAACAACGAGTGTGTTTGGTACTCAGCAGTTATGAGGGACTGAATAGGAAGATATAATTGGGATTGGGAATCAGTGTTGCATATGTGCACATTTACAGGTGAAACACACAAAATAGAAGGGATAAGAAGAGAAAGGATTTTATTGCCCGTAATGATCCCATGACTGTTACAAATTCAGACTGCCTTGACATAAGTAGGCAGCATACAAAAAGTAAACAGAGGTTTGTAAGGCAATGAAGAATGACACTGCAGCTATAGGCTGATATTTCAAATATTTCCTTTTTTTAAGATAATAAAATAAAAGGCAACAAGCACTGCAAAGGCGATGTGCTTTCTTCATCTGCAATAGAGCATGGAATCACAGGAAACATCTCATATGTTGTACGGATGTGGTAATCATCTTAAAACCTACTCATGAAGTATTTAACATTTTGAATGTAATTCAAAAGGCTTCACAATCACACATCATTTACTGGCCTATGTGACATCGCCCAACAGCCATCAGTGTTACAGATGGGCTGTAACTGTGCTGACACACAATGGATGCATGGAGGCTACAAATGGTGCTTTATGTCTCCCAGAGGAGAGTAGCCAGTGAGGCCATGACTGACTCTTTAACTGGGGTCATGTTGAGAGCTCTGCTGTGAACCATGAGTCAGCAGCTAGGACCCAGGAGCCACAGAGGCCAGTTTTGTTCTGCTAATCAACCAACTTCCTGTACCTGGAAGTTACACACTTGCAGTGCACCTATAAGACATTGCACACAGTGTACTTTACTTGACATCACCTCAAATTAAAAGTGAGTCTGGGGAATATTTCTCCAAATGGAATTATCACATGGAGAGGACAATCAGAAGCAGACAATATGTTCTTATTCTGCACCTCCAGTCATTTAAACATATGAAAAAGCATACTTATTTACTTCTAAATGAACCATTTTCTAAAAAATAGTAATCATTAGCATTAACAAAATGCAAAAAAACTGATTATGTGGTTAATTACTAAAATCTGCTCTTCTCTCTCCAGCGGCCCAGTTCTTTCACAGAAAACTGCAGCCTATGACCTATATATTTACCCCAATTAACATAGAGTCAGTTGCTGTGCACATCTCCTGTCTGCCAAGAGAAAAAGTAAGGTTAAAGTCACTGCTGGGCTAAATCCTTATTTGTCCAAAACATTACATGAACTACAAAAACTGCATTTGAGATGATCTAAACTGATTTTTTAAGCCATGTGGGCCCGAGAGGATATAATAGTTTTATCAACTGTAGAAACAGAGGCCTATCTAGGCTGTGACAATATCTAGGTTGAAATAGTCTTAAGCATTATGAAATGTTATTCTAAATGAAAGAATAAATTATCCAAACATCAAGTCTTATCATAACCACAATGCTGTATCCCACCTAATATGTGTCAGTAACATAAACATGTTTTATTAATTACACTTTTTTGTCGCACTGGCAGAGCCATCATGAGGCTGAAACAGGAAGCAGGCTAAAGACAGTGTGAGGTCAATCCACACTGACAGGAAACTGTAGTAGCCCTCATTCCCTAATAGCCCACATGGACCCCACAACAGATGCATGTCTACACAATGGCACACACTATGAGAGGCCGTCTAGCTCACAACTCATACTTGGTCTTACAAACAATATCAGAATCTCACATGTACACCACCAGACTCTTTCACACACAGTATCATACCGTCTTTAACGTACTGTCATTCCTTCCTTCATTTACTATCATACTATCATACATAAATAACTATTCTCTCTCACACACACTACTATACCCTCATACATACTACAATTCCTCTCTCACATACACTATCATTCTTTCTCACACACAAAGTTCTCTATCTTGCATACACTACTAGAGTATTATAATGTAGTATAATGTTGTCTGTAAGTGGGAATAATAGTGTTTCTAAGAAAGTACTTAAAGGCCATAAATCAAAGTTACTTACACCAAACTGTACTTTCTTAGAAACACTATTAT